TTTTTTTCCTTTTTGTCTTTTTTCGTGACCGGCAACGGATCGCAACTCTCAGTGTCGCGCCCGGACCGGACCGGGACCAGCCACGGGATCGCAACCCTTGGTGTTGCTCCCGCACCTCGCTCAGCCAGTGAGTGGCCGGTCCGTATGTGGGATCCGAACCCTCGGAGGGAACGCCGCCGCACTTCCCAAGCGGCGCACTGTAGCAGTGCACCACCGGGCCGGCCCATCTCTTGGGTTTTTATGGAAGCTTCACCACTTAGGCCTGACTGAAGCATGGACAACCATGTACAAATGTGATTGGACAAAAAGAGTATAATCTAACACTAACAGACCAGGTGGGATAATCCAGAAAGGCCTCTTTGTTCAGGTCCTTCTTGGCCTCTTTGTGCTGCCTTCCTTCCTCCCGGTATGGGATGAGACCCCTTCTCAAATGGGGTAGTCTTAAGACCTACAATCAGATAAGGTGGATCAGAGAATTTCTTTATGGCCAGCTCCAAGACAGAAAAGTGGGGGAACGTTAAAACAAACCAGAAACTGTGGACGAAATTCAAAATATACATATAATATCACATTCAGAGATAAAAAGAAGTGAGGTGTCAAGCTGTGAAAAGACATGGAAAAACCTTACATGCTTATTGCTAAGTGAAAGAGGCCAGTCAGAAAGAATATATACTCTATGATTCCAACTATATGATATTATGGAAAAGGTAAAATCATACAGACAGTAAAAAGATCAGTGGTTGCCTGGGTTTTGGGGGTGGTGTGGAGGAGGCAGAGGGAATAGGTGGAGCACATGGCATTTTTAAGACTTTGAAACTATTCTGTATGACACCATAAAGGGGTGTATACAAAACATTATGCATTTGTCAAAACCCATATAACTGTACAAAACAAAGAGTGAACCCTTATGTAAACTATGGGCTCTAATTAATAATGAATCAATATTAGTTCCTCAATTACAGCAAATATATCACAAGAATATAAGATGTTAATATTAGGGGAAACTGTGTGGGTGGGGAAAGGTATATAGGAACTCTGTCCTTTATGCTTAATTTTTCTGTAAACCTAAAATAGCTCTAAAAAAAAAAGCCTATTTTTTAAAGTGTTCTTAGTTTTTACAAATTTCCCTTCTCTTTCCATCCAACTACCGGCACCAGCAACCCACCTGGATAAGGTTAAGATCTCACCTATCTTGCAGCATCATTACAGTAGCTTTTTCTTTGCAAATACTTATAATATGTAATGAATGTGAACAAGTGAATACATATCTATTTCCTAATACAGCTAATGATATCAACATCTACTCAATCACTCAAGTCAAAAACCAACAGTTACACAGAAAGGAAAATATTACACAATCTCACTTATGAGTGGAATCTTTAAAAGAAAAAAAAAGGTCAAATATATAGAGATAGTGAATAAAAGAGTGGTTACCAGGGTCGGGGTGCAGAGGGGAGGAAATGGGGTGATGTAGGTCAAAAGATACAAAGTAGCAAATATAGGATGAACAAGTCAAAAGATCTAATGTACAACATAAAGACTACTGTTAATAATAGTGTATATTGTATTCCAGATTGAATAGATTATAGCTGTTCTTGCTAAAAGAGGAAAAATGGGTAACTAAGTGAGATGATGGATATGTGAATTTGTTGCACTATAGTAACCATTTTACTATATAAAGGTATCTTAAAACATCATGCTGTAAACCCTAAATATAGACAATAAAATTAAAACAAAACAAAACAAAACAAAACCCAACAATTACACCACGCTCCTTCTCCCTCTGTATCCACACTCTTGATTGTACCTCTAAAATTTCTCTCAGATTTGTCCTGTTTCATTCCAAATGTTACTGTCACTCCACCACTCCTTTGTTTTTCTTGGCAGCTGGTCAGTACTGGGATCCAGACCCCTGACCATGGTCTTACAAGTCCATGCTCTTACCAGCTGAGCTAACTAGCCAGCCCCCAATCACTTATAAAACATCAAAAACTTGTGCCATTTTTTGTTTTCATTTTGTTTGGCTCTCTCTGCAAGTTCTTATTTTATAAATACCTAGTCTTCTCCATTCTTCCTGTCACTTCCATGGACACCTATGTCTCTCTTATAAGGATTATGCTTACTGCCCATCTCCTCTCCCACCTTCCATCTATCTCCCACACAATAGCCAGAATTATATATTCATAAAATGCAGATCTGGTTATTTTTACATATATTAAGGCATTTAAAGGAATTTTAAATGCTACTCACAAAAAACTGCTACTCACGGGCCGGCCCGGTGGCGCACTGCTACAGTGCGCCGCTTGGGAAGTGCGGCGGCGTTCCCTCCGAGGGTTCGGATCCCACATACAGACCGGCCGCTCACTGGCTGAGCGAGGTGCGGGCACAACACCGAGGGTTGCGATCCGTTGCCGGTCACGAAAAAGGACAAAAAAGGAAAAAAAAAAAACAACCCTGCTACTCACAAAAGAACAATAAAAAAATTCTAATGTACTTAATGCTGATAAAAGCCACATGATGCACACTGCACCCCACTTTATTGCCAGCAGTGATAATGCCACAAAGCTTTTATGTATAATTTAAATGAGTACAATAATAATTTATATATAAATACACAGAAAGCTTTATGTAAAAGCTTTTATGTATAATGCAACACAGTTTCATAAGTTCCTTGATTACATACCATCATACATGCTGAACTAGTATAATATAAAGGTACTTAAAAAAGTTTGTGGAAAAAGAGAACTGAACAATAACATGAATCTTTCCATGAACTTTCTGAAGTACCCTCATAGAAATAATACTAAGTGTGATGAGAGACAGAGATACCGTTCTTCAAACAGCACTCGAATAATTCCTTTTTTTTTTTTTTTGGCAGCTGGCTGATATGGGGATCCAAACAAGAATTCCTTTTAAAACTGTGAAAAGGCTAACTACATTCCATTAAATTTGCAGTCTGATCAAGGGCAGAAATAACTACTTAATTTATGGAAAAAAGACGATTTTCCCCCATGTCAACTTTGTAATAAATTCTTATTTGTATGTTTCTAAATCCTATATTGGATACCTGGATCAATGGAACTAGAATAATAATGCTTTCACATGAAGATATTTTATAAATGTCATTTTATGAAGGTGTCTCATGAATGTGAAAAGAAACAGGAAATATGAAATTTCCATGTTTCAAATTTCTTTATCCTAATTGCTTATGCAATTTAAAAAGGGTTCATTTGAGTCCCTTTTAAGATTCAGGAGAATCTACTATCTGGGTTTTTTAGATGCTTCCAAAGTAACCAGATGCTACAAATGAGTTCCTTAATCTGGTTTTCTCCAAAGAATATCAGGGGACAGGTCTAGATGTGAACAGAATGGTATACTGTAAACTCTAATTCCTTCTTTTCCCCTCTCCCTAAAACTGTACTAGTGAATGTAGTGTTATAGTACTAAGAATGAAATTATGAGAAAAACAATGATATGGATTACTTCCTTAGAATTTATGTTCCTATTTGAAAGAATATCAGCAAGCAAACATGAACATCACCCTAAAATTCTAAGGTTTAAACTCCCATAAACTTGGAGAAATTATATATTATAGATAAATTCCCAAAGTATTATTCAGACCACTTAGTCAATATCCCACTGAGCCAAGCAATCATTCTTTAATATTTATCATAACTGCTTCAGAAATGAATTCATTACAGCATAGAGACTGCAAGTGTTTACAGTGATGAATTTTATTCAGCAATCAGCACCACTGACACCTTTTTACCTATTTTTTCCCCAGGAAGATCAAACTGTTTTCAAGGATGAAATTGTTTTCAATTTATTATTCAAGGACAGGAATAGAGTGAAACAAGCTAGGCATCTATGGCACAAAATTTAATGAGACATTCATTAATCAACCCTGTACTCGTATGGCCCTGAGAGTGCCTATTTAAAATTTGTGTCTTAGGTGTCTTGCTCTCCTCTCCCTAGTCCGAGATCTGACATTATTTCAGTATATTTGTGAATGTTCAAAGAAAAACTTACCTTTATTCTCTTTTATTTCAACTAGTAAAAGGATATTTTTATGAACGGGCACTTTTTATACTTTGGTTCAAAGGGTTTAAGAAAGCATTGAGTACTATACATGTAATACTTCATCAATTACATTCAATAAAAATACCAAAATAACTATCCAAGTGCATAAATGGAGTTTGAGGATGTGAGGAAAGACACTGTTTCTCTGTTGCTGATTAAAAGAGAAAGTAAATTGTCCAAATTCATTCTAAGCCTTACATGGGATTTTGTGCATTTAAATTAACTTCAACTTTTTTTTTTTTTTAAAGATGACCAGTAAGGGGATCTTAACCCTTGACTTGGTTTTGTCAGCACCACGCTCTCTCAAGTGAGCTAACCAGCCATTCCTATATAGGGATTTGAACCCATGGCCTTGGTGTTATCACCACCACACTCCCCCAAGTGAGCCGCGGGCCAGCCCCTAAATTAACTTCAACTTTTTTTTTTTTTTAAAGATGACCAGTAAGGGGATCTTAACCCTTGACTTGGTTTTGTCAGCACCACGCTCTCTCAAGTGAGCTAACCAGCCATTCCTATATAGGGATTTGAACCCATGGCCTTGGTGTTATCAACACCACACTCTCCCAAGTGAGCCACGGGCCAGCCCCTAAATTAACTTCAACTATTAAAATGAGAATTGCATAAGCAAGAGAATCATTATTCCAAAATCAAGAACAAAAAAAATTTCCTGGCTGACCTGACTTAAATAAACAACCTCTTAACTGTTTTATTTTCCTTTTCTTCTTGAAAAATCCTCAAAATCCCCCAAAAGAAAACAAAAGACTAAATCAATCTTAAAGCACCAATTTGACAATGAGATTACTTATAAAACACAAAGGTAATTAAATATAAATCTTAGAATTTTAACTTCTGAAGTAAAAGCACCAATAAAAAGAGAAAATCCCTTTCATTTTTGCTAATTAAAAGAAAGTTATTCTTACCAGATAAAGCAAAAAGGTGTGCAGCCCAGTTCCAAGCCCAACAGAAGACAAAATTCCTAAGCCTATCCAATAGGCATACAAAAGAAATTGTTTCTCTATGCGTTGCACATACTGAAAAACAAAAGAAATGAGGTGGAAAACATGTATTCTCTATATAGAAATGTGGTTATTTATAAACAACCATCAAAATAAAACAAACCAGCTAAAATAAGTTTCAAATAGGAACAAAGTATTAAGACTAAAAGCCCTTTGAAGAGGCCTAATCTCTTGAATATGCGATAGCAGAGACAGCAAAAAAATTCATCTATTGCAAATAAAGGCTCATCTCTAAACCTTTGAAGTCCTATTATTTAGAGGACATAGGAAAAAACCAAACTACTAAAAAGATAATTATGAGAATAAAAATTTAAAGATACTGAAAACTTACAAAAACTCTAAGAAAGTGTGATAATACACAGTGGTAATAGAGAGGTAGTTATTTACATAATATTTTTAATAGAATACATTCTTGATTATGCAAGTCAAAAATGTAAAGACTTGCTAGAAGAATTCTAGACTTTTTTCTGGAAAAGTTTCTCCAGCTTTGGCAAGTAAACTCAGCAAGCCAGTTCACTACAAACTCTTAATAGCACACATAGATTTAAAAAAAAAATATTTAAAATGCATTTAAAACTGAAAACTTCTTTGAGATTAGAGGTAAACTACTTTAAAATATAAAATGATACTATTTGAGAACCATTATAATACATTAATGTTTTGCTTTTTTATTTTTTTTGGCAGCTGGCTTGTTTGGGGATCTGAACTCTTGACACTGGTGTTATCAGCACCATGTTCTACCAAGTGGGCTAACTGGCCAGATCCCTGTTCTGCTATTTTAACAAAAGGTTTTAACAAAATGTCTTATTTTCCCATCAGTAATGTGTACTTGTAGACTACAAGCAAAGGAACTTGTCTTTTTACACAAATAAAACCTAATCCTCAACTTAGGTCTGTTTAGATGGATCACAAAAGTATGTTACAGAACATACAAAGACTTTGGCAGTGACTGAAAGATTCATGCTGCTTGACTGAACACTGTCAGAAAAGTTATATTTCATTCTTTGAAGATAAAAAAAAGTCCTATTTACCAAATAAATGCCGAACAGCCACAAAACATTGCAAGAGTATTTTTAGTGTATGGCCCTAAAAATAAGACATTAAGTTATCAGTTATGAGATAAATTAAAAATACAAAAGCAAGCCTACAACTGTTGAGTATAAAAATCCTATGAAATCCACACTAGTACCATTTTGATACTGTCTGGAATTAGAGAATGTGCAAGACTAGAGATAGAACTGCTGAACTTCTTACCTGTTGATGTGCTCCTTCAACATAATACGTAGCTATAAGTACAGCAAGCAGCAGTAAAAAAGACACCACAATGCTTTGACGATGCCATAATCTTAAAAAAAAAAATTTAAAAAACATCTTAGTCTCACTTTCAGGAGTCATCATTCTCAACACAATTTCTTGTTGAAGCACTTAGGTTATATAGCTCTTAGTGCTTCAGTCTGTGGGCTGAACTCTTTTGTCCTTAAATACCACGGCTTCTTGGGAATACAGAAAGGGGTTAAGGGAAGACAGATGGGCATAGAACCCAATTTCTTATCATAAACCCCAATGTAGACTTTTCCTTTCCCCAAAGCCTGATCTTGTTTACATCCCAACTTTTAATTTGAAAGGGCATTGTAGTATAATAGAAAGTACACTGGCCTTCAAGTCAGAGGACCTGGGTCAGAGACCCTTAGTGTTGTACTTTAAGCAAGACACTTAACCAATCTGACTCTGTTTCTTGTCTTCAAAATCATAATAATCATACACTTGTTTTATCTTCATGGAAGGTACTGTAAGGATCAAATGAGCTAAAAAATGCTTTATAAATTCTAAGTACAATAAAAATGTAAGATAATAACTTGGAAGGGCACATCAGAAAATAAGGTGTGTAAAAGTTCAACTTGCTTTTTATAATATTTGAAACAGGGCTTACAAGTACTGAATTTAAAGACAGAACACATTTCCATGGCAGAGTCCTTTTTCATTGGCTCAAACTATCAGTAAAAGTGCCAGTAAATCCTGAACCTTTTCCTGCTAAGAACCAGTGTATCTAATGTACACAGGCCTGCTTTCTCCTGAAGGTAAAACTAGGAGGATAACCATCACTTTCATGCAAGTGTTCTCCCTTGCATGAAAGATTCAACATGAGACACTGGACAAATGTAATAATCAAGTGAGCAAATAGCAATGTTTCCCTAATCTATTTTTCTTCAAACTACAGAAAAGAGAATAAATATATTCCTATGATAATATTCTAAATTTAATTCATCCATTTTGACTGAACAGAGGTCAGGGAGTAGGAGATTATTGAAGCTTTCTAAAATTAGTAAATAAGGTTTATACAAAAGTTAATGTTTATCCTATGAACAAGGGGGAGGAGTGGGGGAGGTAATGAAAGATTCTTTACTTTGAGGTCCATTCCTTTAAGATTAGAAGGATTTCCAGAAAAAAATACTGCAAGGTAATGAGTGGCTGTCTCCACAGGACAATATTCTGCCTTTCTTCCCGATCCCTCCTCTTCTTTTCATTCATTGAAGAGGGGTCTGAAAAACAGTAGTGCAGAAGTTAAAACAGAACTTCTAATATTTATGCTCTCTCTTTCCAGTTATTTTAAAAATGCATCCACCTTCCCATCCCACACCTGAAAGACTACATACAAATTTCAAAAGCACAAACAACATGATTCACATCTGGTTCATGCAAGTTTTAAGCAGTTTGAGTACTAACCTGAGATCATCATTCTCTAGAGAATGCAACCTCTGGAACACAATTCTAGTTAACACAGCTGTCCTACTACAAGTGTGTCTGAAATCTGTAACAGAAAGGCAAGGATTGTGGTAGGACACCATAACTTAAGCTTCAACAGCATTTCATTTGTCTGTATATCTGCCTATCTCTTCTATTTCAATCAGTGGCAACCTTGCAGAATATTCTCTTAAGCACTCTTGGAGAGGGATGGTACAATGTACAAGTGCTTAGACACCTACTGGATTAAAACAAAGTTTTATTTATGTCCTGAGTAACCATTAAAAGCAAGTCCTAAAGTATTGAGAAATGGGAACTAGTCCAAACTCAGCAACATCTAGTGGCTTAAAAAGGAAATGAATTATTATAGTTGCCACTTTTTAATCAGTGTTACCTACAGAACAAGGAGGGGGGGGGGGAGTTTACCCTTTGCCAACTCCCTGACATGACAGATATGAGAATCTTTTGTAGAGGGTCCTAAAAAAATGGTACAGAAAATTCCAGCAGTTGAGTTTAGGATAGAACTATAGATTTTGGGAAAATGGCAAGTGCTGGAATAGGTGATTCTGCTCAATATTAACATTATTTTTGCAATTATTTTACTGTTAGGACACAAGCTCCTACTCTTTTGCATAACTGGAGTAAGTCTATATTGGTCCACCTTCTGTGAAGGGCATCATATCAAATTAGCATCATATTGTAGAGCAAAGTGGTTTAGATCTTAAACGTGGAAGCAAACTACTTGGTTTCAAGTCCTGGCTCTGCCGTCTACCAGTCATGTCATCTTGGGAAAGTTAGTTAACATTTACGTGCCTCAGTTTTCTCTTTTGTAAAATGAGAACAACAATAGTAGTTACTTTTCAGGGTCAACTAAGGATTAAATGAGTTATTATAAGTAAAGTTCTCAAAGGAGTTTGACAATAAGTGTTCAATTAATGTTAGTTATTATTGTCATCATCTATTGAAATTATGCGCATACACAGTAACCCAATAACTCCATTTCTAGGAATGATTACTCATAAACTCAAATGACTTGTACAAGTTTATTCACTGCAGCATTATTTGCACTAGGAAAAGATTACCAACAACTTAAATGTTAATAACAGAGGACCAAGGAGTGATTAAAGTATGGCACACTCATCCAATGGAATGGAATACTATGCAGCCATAACAAAGAATAAGTTCTTCTTGTATAGTTCTAGCACAATCTCTAGGAAATATTAAGTAAACAATAGTACAATAGAGTAAGTAAGACATGCTAACATTAATTTTAAATGTGGCAAACAGTAGAAGAAAATGTGTGTGCTTCTTGAAATGAAAGAAAAAAATGACACAAAAAAGCTCCTAATTGGGAGATGCTATGATGTATACAATGTCCATCTCTGAAACCTGAAACTTGGTGAAATGATACAAAATTTACTGACAATCAAAGTAACCCAAAAGTCAGATCAGTGCTGTAAAATGTCCTCTGCAAGGCAATAGTTATTAAAATAAACAAATGGAAACTACTGTTTCAGATAGCCTGCACTTCTTCCAACAGAAGAGAATTTCTATGATGTAATAATACTACACTAGAGTATTATTTGCAATGTGTTTGAGAAGCCAAACAACTCAGAAGTTAAAAAGAAAATTAGTACAATTACCAGAAAAGAAAAACCTTTCTTTTTCCTTTAAATGCATGAAGCAAAGTTCCTACTTAAATCACCCACATAAATAAAAGCCATAATTTTCAGGATAAATGTATAAATAAAAGTCAAATATACTGAAATTTATCAAAAATTCCAATTTGGTTAAAATGTAAGTTTATTCATCTCAAACTAAAATTTTAAAGTAATTAACTTTTTGCTAACTGTATTCTTAAGAAGAGCATAATAAGCAAACTTATAATCTACTTCTAAAGTCACAAAATAGCATAATGAATTGAGCACTGAGCAAAGCCAAATAAATACTTACCGTACCATAAGATTAACAAGTAATAATCCTATGTGACTTATGTGATTGTCCAGGCTGCTTCTGCAACCACTGTGAAAAATCACCTTATAGGCCCTGATCCATAATTTAATTTACTATGAAGGTATTAATAAAAGACAAAAAATACTAGAAGTAATATATTTGTTTTATTACAATGAAAAATACATAATTTAAAACCGCAGATCTCCTCCCTCTAAACCACCACACTTTACCTGTGAAATTTCCATTATGCTGTTCTTTGTTCATTGCTACACGTCTCTGGTCACAATTTTTTCCATTCTCTGCCATTTCATAGATCAGTAACTCTTGAGGAGCTAATATAGCAAAATAAAATCCAGCAATATGTTACATACTTTTCTTTTTACAGCTGTCATTAAATAAAATTACATACAGGAATAATATGGCAGTAATATGTACCCCACAAGCTATTTGTATAATGTGCTTACACTTTATTTTTTCTTTTATAACAAAGATTTAAACAATCTGTATAAAAATCCTAATATAAGTAGTAAAAATATAAAAGCCATGTCGCTGTAAACCTTTTCCAAAGAGTTATTCCAGTCATTTTCCAGATTAAAACTTTTTACCTTTTCACCATTTTATCTTTCGTAATCCTTATAATATTACCAGGAAAAAATGGATTATATTACCAAAAGACATCACAAAAGTTGACACATAGATCCAAAACCATATATGAATTTTATTTAGGAAACAGTTCTACTGAATAAAATGATATGACATAGTAGACAAAAATTTTAAAAGTTTAAAATATGTTAAATGTACTTTCTTTCATACTTCACATTACACGTATAAGTGTTTCCACTTTAAAGCACTGTAATATAACATATCAATTGTGCTGAAACATATTCTACACAAAACACCAGATTGCCTGTGACTATCATCCTTCAGGTGTGTTAGTAAAGCAAATCTTTGTATTCAAAAAGCACATCACTTCAATAAGGCTATGATACTCAGTCCTTAATAAAATCTTAAAATTTGCCCAGATTTTTATAAAAAGACAATTGATGAGAAAGTTATCAAAATTAAAACTTCTGTGCTTCAAAGAACATCATCAAGAAAGTGAAAAGTAAACCCACAGAATAGGAGAAAATATTTGCAAATCATGTATTTCATAAGAAGCTTATCTATGATACATAATGAACTCTCACAACTCAATTTAAAAAAGCAAATAAACCAGTTTAAAAATGGACAGGGGATCTGAACAGATATTTCTCCAAAGATAAACAAATGGCTAATAATATGCACATAAAAAGATGTTCAATACTTTTAGCCATCAAGGAAACGCAAATTAAACCACAATGAGTACAACCTCATACCTGTTAGGATGGTTATAATATTCATAAAAAATACAGATAATAACAAGTATTGCTGAAGATATGAAGAAATCTGAACTCTTGTATACTACCCTTGTGAGAATCTGAACCCTTGTGAGAATGCACAATGGTGCAGCTGCTTTGGAAAACAATCTGGCAGTTCTTCAGAAGGCATAACATAGAGTTATCATATGACTCAGCAATTCCACTCCTAGGTATCTACCAAAGATAAAAGAAAACATATCCATGAATTATTCATGAATATACATAGGAGCATTGTCGTTAATAGTCAAAAGGGGGATACAACCTAAATGTCTATCAACTGATGAATGTATATAGAAAATGTGGTATAACTGAGCAATGAAATATTATTCAGCCATAAAAAGAAATGAAGTACCGATACATGCTACAGCACCAATGAACATTGAAAATATTATGCTAAGTAAGAGCCAGTCACTAAAGATCATGTTCTGATTTTCATTTATATGAAATGTCCAGAATAGGCAGAACACAATTCTAGTTAACACAGCTGTCCTACTACAAGTGTGTCTGAAATCTGTAACAGAAAGGCAAGGATTGTGGTAGGACACCATAACTTAAGCTTCAACAGCATTTCATTTGTCTGTATATCTGCCTATCTCTTCTATTTCAATCAGTGGCAACCTTGCAGAATATTCTCTTAAGCACTCTTGGAGAGGGATGGTACAATGTACAAGTGCTTAGACACCTACTGGATTAAAACAAAGTTTCTTCTCCTCAACATGACACACTGCATATCTATAATGACAGAAAGTAGATTAGTCAGAGAGAAATGGGGAGTGGCTGCCAATGGGTTGTGAGTTTCTGTTGGGGATGATGAAAATGTTCTAAAATTGTGGTGATGATTGCACAAGTGTAACTATACTAACAACCACTGAATTGTACCATTTAAATGGGTGAATTGTATGGTATGTCAATTATGTTTCAATAACACTGTTTAAGAAAAAAGTCATCAGCAGGAACTATCAAAACTTCCAAATATATTCATAGGAAAAGAATGGTATACTTTTCTATAAATCTCTTTCCTTGTTTATGTTTAATAGTAGCCCCAAGCTTAAGAATATTTTCATGACCAAGTAGCTCAAATTTTTCTATTTTACAAGCAGATTTGGTAACAGTTCAGAACTCAAAGTCAGATTTATGAGTTGGAAGGTTATATTATCAAGAAAGAAAACTCAAGAATCACTTTATAAGATACTTGTGTAAGTTTGTTTGTTCACATACTCATTTAACAAATGTTGACTGAACACTCTGTATGTGACAGGAATCATGCTAGATTTGTATTTACTTGATTAGAATATGATATGGTCCTGGGTTCAATCTTCCAGTAGTTTGTTAGTTGGTGCTGCTTTATTCCTTGACTAAACTCCTGATTATAATAACTATTTCCAAAATTTATGCCTCCTAAAGGAAAACAAGAGAAAGACTGTAAAAATGACTGAACAAAGAGCATACATTCATCATTGCAAGAGAGAGGATCCTCTTTTAGATATAATCCATTTGTGGATAACTTTGTTCTGTTGCCTTCATTTCTCAATGAGCAAATAAACATATCAAGAAATAAAGCGTAGGTTTCCATTAGCATAGATTGCCTGGAGTAGATGATTATAAGACTTAAAGTCTGAAAATCTGGATTTGAATCCCAGATTTGCCACTAACTAGTCATGTGATCTTGACCAAGTTTCATTTTCTCTAGGCCTTGATTTTCTGGATCCAAAAAATGAGGACAATAATTGCTACCTTCATGGGATTGATGTGTGGATTAAATAATGTGTGTGCACCTGCATGTTTGTGCATACATGCATGTGTGTAACTATCAATGCCAATACATCAAAAGGGTAGGAGGTATATGAAGCAGTAATCTAGAGAAACAAACTTCACAGCACATGCCTCACTGCATCCTATCAGGGAGGACAATGCTGTTTATTCAAAACCCATTTAAAAATTACTGTGGTCTCAAATGGGCACTAAGGATATAAATATGAATAAGAAAGGTCCTTGTTCTCAAGAGGGTCACAGTGTGATAGGGAAGCCAAATAAGCAGAAGAGATCAATTATAATAGAATAAGTTTTTAATAAAATTAGATGGAAAGACAATGATAATCTAATGGGAAGAAAACAGATTCTTAGAGTCTCACAGAATTGGGTTTAAACCCAAGCCTCACAAGCAACTGCTCAGTGAACTCAGACAAGTTTGTAAATCTCTCTAAACATCAGCTTCTTTAACTTGTAAAATAGGGATAACATGACACACATCAAAGGGTATATAAAATACATACATTGCCTCACCTCTCATATGAACTCAATACTAGCTATCCCAACAAAGAAGATGATGAGGAAGAAAGAACTATGGGAGCTCAAAAGGCAACACATTCTAAAGAGTTCACAGGAGCTGAAAGTTCGATTCTCCAAACTTAAGTCATACTTCTGTGAAGCTGTTGTCAAAAAGGCAATGTAGGGCCGGCCTGGTGGCGCACTGCTACAGTGCACCGCTTGGGAAGCACGGCGGCGCTCCCGCCGAGGGTTCGGATCCCACATACAGACCGGCCGCTCACTGGCCAAGCGAGATCCGGGAGCAACACCGAGGGTTGCGATCCCGTTGCCGGTCCCGGTCCGGTACGGGCGCGACACTGAGGGTTGCGATCCGTTGCCGGTCACGAAAAAAGACAAAAAGGGGAAAAAAAAAAACAAAAAACAAAAAACAAAATAACAAAAAGGCAATGTAGTCCACGCAATTACAAAAAAAGACAAAGTTATTCTGTAAAAACGT